TAGACCCCTCTGTCTGCTGCTCTCTGGAGTCACTCTTTCATTCTTCCAAAAATATCATAATATTTCTTCAGGGAGTGCAGTTAGTTAATATTCCTGCTGCATTAATGTGTATGTGTCATTTTCCTGCTGTAGATGTTTAAGGTTGAGCTCATTTTAACTCCTTCATATCCTGCTGGGTAGTTTAATCTACAGCAATGCATCATGGTCTATAAGATCATCATAGTGTCAGAAAAACAGCCTGTTCTCTGCTATGTGACGACGACTTTTCCAGCTGATCCCAGAGGGTTTTTAAAGAGTTTATTTAGCTTCAGAAAGATGGAGATTTTCTCAACACATAAAGCAACACTTTGTCCTTCAGTTTATCACAAACATTCAACATCAACACATCTGGAGATACGTGGTTTTCACCAGACAGGAAGGGTGTGAAAACTGCCATTTAAAAGCTAACTAAAGCTGTCAGACACATGTAGGGCAGGTAAAGATACAAGCTTACCCTCTGAGATGTGGCTGAGGAGAAGTATGACATAGAATAACATGGAAATACTTATATAAAGTACAAGTACCTTGAATTGGTACTTGAGTAAATGTACTTTGTTACATCCACTCGTCAACAGGTATCTTTTTCACACTCACTGCTGGTTGTGGGAAATCAATACGTCTCAGTCAGCTCATTGATCATTTAGTCCTCGGAGGCCATTTTGAACAGCTGCATCTTTAAGAGCGATCAGACTGCCAGCACACACACACACACACACACACACACACACAAACAAACTCACACACATGGATGATGAAATGAAACTCTATCGATCCATGAAGAGAAACTGTGTCACCACAGCAGCAAGTGATAAAGTACAGTAAAGAAAAAAGACCATGTGAGAGAGCGGCCATAATGAAACGACATCATATCAGATTTCTGAGACCATGAACAAAAAAGATAATGTGTTTAAAGTGACATAACCCTGAAAATAATAAAACATGTATTCCTTCCTTCCTTTCCTTCCTCCTCAGGCTCCACTTCACTCAGCTGCCCCACAGACCCGCTGCTTCTTCTCACTTTAACCTGAATAACAAACCGGAGCTAGCTGGGAGCGGCTAGTGGAGCGTTAGCCGCAGCATGACCGGAGGGAAGCACAGCCAGTTAGCCTCCGCTAGTCTCTGAGCTAGCCCCGGCTCTCCGTTTGGATCCAACCGGAGCACCGAGCCCTGGTTTGTTATTCAGGTTAAAGTGGGAAGAAGCAGCGGGTTTATCGGGCAGCTGAGTGAAGTGGAGCCTGTGGAGGAAACACCGGGACCGTCTGGATGTAATAGTCCGTGGAGGTGCTGCGGTGCTCGGCTGCACAGATAGGAAACCCCTCGGCTGACAGGATGTACCACTCTCTCACTCCGCTCTCTCTCACGCAGGCGCAGAACGTACGTGCTACTTGGCCGTCGGATGTAGTCCGTGTAGTGTGTTCAAATGCAACTGGCACAGGGCGACGTGAGGCGACTTAGACGATGCAACAGTTGGCTTTTGTCGCCGCTAGTTCTTTGATGTCGGTTTGGTGTGTCCACGCCTTTACACCAGTGACCCTGCCGACAACGCCAAATTTGCGGTGACAGTTTCTACTAGACAAAACACATCGAGTCAGAAACCACAAGGCACTTGTGACGTCCTGACAAGACATAAGATGCAAGATGACTTCACATTCTTTGTAGTTAGTGGCCCATCGTACAGAGGCCTAAAAGTTTCCTTCAAGTGTTAAATGTTGAAAAGATTTTACATAATTACATCATTTCTATTATATTGTGGGTTAGCGTTTCGATTACATTAATAATTTCCATTACAGGGGAGATATCCCAACTGGAAACACATCAGTGAATCGATTAAAAACAAATGGTTTTGTTGCTTGTTGGTGTTGAACAGTGGTCTGCAGCTTGGCAGGCGTCTCTCCTATATGTGACAAAGCATCCACCATCCCCTCCACCTCCTGATGAAGTCAGCTCACACACTACGTCACTTTAGAAACAATATGATTCATATGAAACATACAAATGCAACATATTCGTGGTTTGCATAAACACTGACAGCATTTTCTTCTGGCGACTGAGCTGCACATTTTGACAAATTTAAATCCTTAAAATCAGAACATTCGTGGCGTAGTTTTGATCTTCATCTTCATCTTCATCGTTGCCTCTGGTATTTTTCCTGTCGGTGAGACACGGCGGATGTTCCTGAGGGAGACTGATGTGCTCTCCCTCAGCTAAGAGGCTTATCTCATCCAGCGTGTAGTGTTCAGAGAACAACAAGCAGCCAGCGGCAAAATATAAAACACACATCTGGATTGAATCATCAGGCCACCGGGGCGACCGAGCATCCCTCAACCTGCAGAGATAGACAGAGAGTTGAAACCATAGAAACATCCCAGGGAGCTGCGGGCTGCACTGCACGGCCAAAAGTATGTGGACACCTGAACACTGGCTGTAAAGATTCACTCCTTCTCAGACACAAAAAAAATCTACTCAAAGATCAGCATGTATTTCTCCAATTATCCAGTTGGTTTTTAAATAATTTATTTACCTTAAGAAATAAAACTTTTTACGACAGACTCTTGAGACATAATCATGAACATTCATGTACTCTTTCAGTGCCTATACTTCAGATCTGATACAGCACATACACATCTATATGTAGAACCACCTGATCCATACTGTTCACCTGATCTTCATATTCACCAAATTTAAAGATATGTTGTTTTTTTCTTTCTATTACATATAAAAGCATTTTCTAATCTGATACGTCTGAGGTTAAGGTCAGGTTTAAGGGAGAAATCATAGTTTGGGTTGAAACATCTGCTCTGTTAATATCATGGATTCTTTGTTACCACGGACTGTTGGTTAAATGAACCGTTGGTCTCACGCATTTTGTTGACCCAGCCCTCCTCATGACCACCTCTGTACGAGGTTTAATGTCGTGCGACTTCCTTTGTCAGCAACTCTGCCCAACAAGTACTTTTGCTTTAATACTTTAAGAGCAGTGTGGTTATGTCAGGCACAAAAAAGACTTGGCTATGGAGGAAAAGATCATGTCTTGCTTTAAAATCCCCCATTTTAGTAACATAATCCCTGCTGGAAACACAGTGATGACTGTTAAAAAAACAACAAGTTTTGGTTGTTGGTCTTGAACAGCAGTCTGCAGCCCGGCAGGTGTCGCACCATCACCATCCCCTCCACTTCCTGATGAAGTCAGCTCATATACTACGTCACTTTAGAAACACTGATATGAAACATTTAAAATTTACAAACATAAGGTATTCAAGATTTCTTCTAGTAACTGGGCTGGATACTCAGATCTTTTACTTAAGTAAAAGTAGTAATATCAAAGTGTAAAACTACTCAAAGTTTTATTTGAGTAAAAATACAGAGCTATTTGCATCAAAATATACTTGAAGATATTTAGCACCTGAACTAGCTGCTGTAAATCGTAAAGCTAAGTTTGTCCCCCCTCGCTTCCCTTACAAATGTTTCCTTTTTGCTTGATGTAACATTTTGATTTGTTAGCTGACATGACAAGTTTACGTAAAGTTTTATCATGAGTCAGTTAGTAAAGGCTGAACGATGGACAGCGTTAGCTTGCTGTTCTGTGCCCGAGCTAGACACCGCAGCCCAGCAGATTTCCTTCACTGATGTAAATGTCTGTATGTTCAGTTCTCACGTGCCGAAGTTAAGAAAGTTCCTTGTAGTGTGAAGTGATTTCCACTCACGCACATCCAGACAGATTAGCCTAGTTTACGTCGGAAGCCGAAAGCACGACAGCTCGACAGTATCGTCTCGTTGTGTGATTAAACATTTTTTATGTAATGTGAGTTCTTCCTTGAATGCGGGTGTATTTCCTGGTGGCAGTCGGGCCCCAGTGCAACCGCACTGCCTGCACTGTCTATATTTACGCTCCTGCTTTAATGTGTTCGTCATTTCAGTGTTGCAGTTGGTAAAGGTGGAGTCCATTTTAATGGTTTGTGTGTTTGTGTGCTCCCTAAATCCAATGTTATGTACAATCCTAATGGCTTTCTTTTGTAATATGTGTAATGTATATAAATTGCTTGTTACCTCAGACCTATACACAGTACTCGTAAAACGAGTGAGCAGTAAATGATGTGTTTTGATTTATGGTCCAATATGTGTCTCGATTTTTCCCATAATGCACTGCTTCCTGCGGTTTTGATTGAATTTGTCTTATTTTAGGTTTCCAGCTGATTTTTTTGATCCAGTATCACTCCCAAAAACTTTTTATGTCTATATCAACATTATCTATCCTAATTTGCACCTGTGTATAAATGTTTAGATTTCCAGATTACATCATTTTGGTTTTTGTCAAATTCAGTTTTTTTTTTAAAGCATCTTTTCAGTTTATTCATTTCTGTTATGATCTCAGTGAGAACCAGCTATAAATTCTCTCCGGAGTTTGAAACAAAAAAAATGGTGTCATCCACAAATATCACAAGTTTTTGAAACTATTTTGGTCCCAACACTGACCCCTGGGGTACACCACAAGTAATGTTACCACATGATGATTTCTATTCACCCATCTGAACAAATTGCTGCCTGTTTTTTAAATATTTTTTAACCAATCAGTGCTGTTCCCCTGATGCCTAATTTTTCGAGTTTTTTTTATTTGTATTTTGTAGTGTAGTGAAGTGGAGTAGCGTTATAAAGTAGCATAAAATGGAAATACTCAGGTAAAGAAAAAGTACCTTAAAATAATACTACAGTACTTAGTTACTTTCCACCACTGTTTTTACTTAAATGAGATCTTAAATATTTCTTAACAGAATATTTTTACAGTGTTGCTGCTTTTTCAGAAGTATTTTTAGAGTACTTCTTTCAGCAGTGGTAATAGATTACTAAAACAGAGTGGGAGATGAACGGCACGAGCTGAGGAGGAGGGAGCTGTAGGGGGTGAACAGAGACAGTAGAGTATAAAACAGAGTGAGGAGCTGAAGGAGGGAGCTGTAGGAGAAAGAAGGAGGGAGGAGGATCCATGCAGCCGGAGGGAGGTGAAACAGATTTAGAGACAGAAAGCAGCCGGTGTTCAAACTCAACAGTTTCTCAGCAGCAGGCGAACAGCGTCGCCTCCTCCTCCTCTTCATCCTCCTCCTCCTCCTCCTCAGTCATCATCCATCCATCCTCCTCTTTCTCTCCGCCTCCTCCACCGGTCCTCCTCTCCATGCCGGCGGAGGTCTCCGCGGGGCTGCCATGGCGAAGATCCGGGTGTCGTACGAGTACTCCGAGGCCGAGGACAAGAGCATCAGGCTGGGCTTGTTCCTGATCGCCTGCGGGATCCTCAGCCTCTTCATCCTGGGCTTCTGCTGGCTCAGCCCGACCCTGCAGAGTCTGCAGAGCAAGCCGGCCAACTGCACGGTGAGCCCGGATACACGAGCTCCGAGCAGCCGCTGATCCGCTGCCTCCGGAGCCTCAGATCTGTGCTCCTCCGGTGGAGGAGAAGTAAAAGCTTAGTAGTTGTAGTAGTTTGAGGAATAGTAGAGTCAGTGTGAGTTAAAACAGGAGCTCAGTACTCTACTTTTACTGTTATTCTGTTCAGTGTCATTTTCATAGTAACTTCTTACAGTGGTGTATTTGCTCCTGTGGTACTAACAGAAGTATTTTTATTAGTATGGTCAAAATTACTGTGGTTTTTATAACCTGTTAGTGGCACTTGTGTCATTAAGAGCAATAACCTGACAACAGTGTAATGTACTAGTATTAGTAATGGTGATAGTACTAGTCTGTGGAGGTGATTATCAGTATTAAGCTTTTATTAATTGTACTGATTGTTGCCGCAGTATTGAATATTACACCTATTTTTGTATCATATTAAGATTAAATGTAATATGCATACTATTATCAAAGTTTTAAGGAGTAGTGGTGTAGAAGTTGGGGAGTTGGTGGAGGCAGTATTAGTTAAAACTTGACTTTTATTGGTATTTTTTCAGTGTCATATTCAGAGTAGCTTCTTACAGTGGTGTATCTTTCTTTGTGGTATTTGTAAAAGTAATTTAATTAATATTGTCATAATGTGACTTTTATTTTTAGCAGTTTTTGCAATTAATATTAGGTTTAGAGTACTACACCACTTTTTACAGTGCTGTAGTACTCATAGAAGTATTTTTCTTACTATTATTATCAGTATTGTTGTCATTCAGAGTAGCAGTAGTAGTATTTGTATTAGTAATGTAGTCATTGTTAACAGGTGTCCAAATTAGTGGTGCTACTAATCGTTGTGTGTTTTGATATTGATGGTACTGTTGTCATTTAGTGCAGTAGTAGCAGCGGTATTAATAATGTAGTATTACTGGTGTCCGGATTAGTTGTGATAGCACTAGTGATATTGAGCTATATTTAGTTGGCTATGGTGTTGCAGCAATATTAAATCTAAGTATTTTCATATAAGACTAGTAACAAACTTCTGAGGAAGTCCTAGTTTAAAAAGGAGCTCAGTGCGTGTTTATTGTTATTTTTAGCAGTGTCATTACCATTAATAGTTCTAATGTAACTTCTTACAATGGTGTATTTTTTATCACTATTACTATCAGTATTGTCAAAATTACTATGGATTGTGGTATTAGTAGAAGAGCAGTAGTAGCAGTATTTGTATTTGTAATATCAACAGGTGTCCAAATTAGTAGTTCCACTAATCATTGTGTAACTTCTTACAGTTACTTATTAGTGTTAGTATTAAGTAGTAGTAGAAGTTGAAGTATTGTCATTTTTGAATTGCCCATTTAAAAGTATTTTTGTTGGTATCAATGTTAAACCCAGTATCCAACTTTTAAATATAGTAGTAGTGTTGGTCAGATTGCCGTAAAGAGGTACTAATACTTCCTGCGGATGGGTTTTCTGTTAGTTAATAGTATCAATAGCAGTGCTAGAAGTAGTAATTAATGCTAAAACAATGAGTTAATCAACAGATAATCACAGTTTTGTTGATTTATCAACTTTATCGACTGTTGGTCGAACAAAACAACACTTGAAGAAGTCGTCTATGTCACATTGTGATGATATGATCTTTAATGTTAGTGACTTTGAGGATGAAGACGAACTTGTTGGTTTGGCAAATTTACATCTGGTTAACTAAGCTTTTCTCAGGGACCTTCGAGGTTATGTGACGACCCTGATTTTTCATCTAGCGCCACCCGCACATTAAAGTTTTCACTCATCTAGTGATGTATTCTGTTTCTCATTCATCAGCCCAAAACATGCTGACCATCTTCTTTTTTCAGAACATTACTACAAAGTTGTATTTACATCTGATTAGTGTAAAAGTGCAGCCTCACCTCTCAGGCTTGGTTCTATTTTGGGAGGTCATTAAATCTGAGAATCCCACCTGGGGTTTCTTTATTTGCAGATGAGCTCACTGAAGGTTTCTAAGAGTCTCTGAAGTGTTGCCAACATTTTTGTTTTTTAGAGCAATTCAAATAGGTAAAACAAAGGATAACAGCAGCAGAAACATGTCAAATTAGTTGTTTTAAGTTCCTTTCCTTTAAGTTAACTTTGGTATAAAACAGAGTCACGACTCAAGAAATGCTGTAAATCTGTGTGATAGATTAAAATATATTGTTGTATTTTGAGTTTAAATATTCTGTCCTGTTGGGTTGTAAAAATCATCTATTTCCTTTTGTAGCAGAATAGCAGAAGAGTTTTCCTAAAAAAGTTAAATCCTCTGGTCTTTTTTTATTTGAATCTTTTTTATTGTCGATACAAAGTGGGTTTTTTCTCCTTCGGGTCATTTGGTTCTTTACACTGCGTCACTTTCCACTGTGGATTATTGAAACTGTTTGCACAGCATTTCAGAACTGTTGGGAGTTTTCATGATATAAATTACAGCTGGGGCCGGCAGTCCTGGCTTTTTACTGTGGATGATGAATTCATGCCAGCTTGATTTATTTGGCTGTTAGCTTATTGCATCGTCCTGAAATAATGTTCGTGCATTACAGAGAGTGGAAACCTTTTGTTTTTTTTGTCTCTAAATCACAAAGTCATGATGAGGCAGAGAGAGTCCACTCTGTCATCCACTAATCCACAGCTTAATATAACATAAATCACAATACTTGGACTTTATTGCATTTCCCTGAGTGATGAAGAGAGGTCTGACTTTTATCAAATCTGCAGTGATTGATTGTCTATTTACCATGTATCGATATTTATTTTCCTGCCTGCAGCTGTTGTTTCAGTGCTTTAATGAGCAGGAAGAAGAAATGCAGCCATCACTCTTTATTTTAATCTAAATCACTCACATATTCGAGTTTAATATCCGAGATCGGTGTCTGGACTCACATCTTAACAGCAGTTACATGTACAAACAAACTCTTCCAGTACATTGACTGTTCACTAAGCTTAGTTTACAACAACATGGCAGATTTACCATCAAAATTCATAGTAGGCAAATATTTAAAACAATGGCTCCTTAATTTCAGAGACAAGTAAAAATAGCCTCTCATTTTTAGCCAGCTATACTACTATTGAAATGTCTGTTTTAATTAGCCAGCTAGCTAATTAGGCTAACGATAGCTCCATGAGTTGGTTGAAAATGCTATCTCTGACCAGCTAATGTCTTAAACACTTATTTTAAACTAGAACTCCCTAGAGAGCTGCAGTGATGATGTTTTTTTCTTGGCTGATCCAAAATTCAGCGTTGAGGTGGTTCCCTCGACAAAAAGCTAGTTTGACTTCTCCGTTAGACTTTGGACTTTTGCCGAAAATAAACTTGTGGTTTTGTTTTTCATCAAGATAATCTTCACAAATGAACACAACTTTTATGATTTTTGAAGTGTAAATGCAATTGGCAGACGTAAACAGCCAATTGTAGGCTATAAATGCGTTCAGCGTTAAGTCAACACCACAGTTGACTTAACGTTGTCACCACAATGAGGCTGTAAAGCCATGTTTGACATGATGACATTTTGTGGTCACAACCACCTTACTTACTTTCAAAATTCGAGTAACATATTTACTTACTTTTTTATGCCATAGAACAAAACATGAAAATCTCACAAGTTTGTGTGAACCACTGACCCAATTTCAGACATCTAACAAGAAACCCACTGACTTTGAGACGAGGGAACTGTGAATGCTAAAATGCTAACTTATTTTGGGGGTTTTGGACTCATGCCTGCACTACTTGTAACAACATAGCAGATTTACGATCAAATTTTAAAGTAGTTTTTAAAACAACGGCTCCTTGATTTCAGACTAAAGTAGCTCTCATTTCTGTCATTTTTGCTTAAATGACACCTGTCTTAACTAGATGGCTAGCTAATTAGGCTAACAATACCTTAATTTGTCAGTTGAAAAAGTTATCTGCTGCCAACATATGTTTTCTGCTTATCTGTTTTGAAAGTAGGCCACTATAAAAAGAATTTAATATGCACATGATCTACACTTCATAATTGCATACATTATGTTGTGCTAAAAAAAAGACAGAGGCTAAAGCTAACGATCCAAGGTAAACTAATCCATGTAGGCTAGGAGACATGAATTCAGAGCATATTTATGTACCAGTGTAGAGTTAGTATTATATCATAAGAACAACTATGACATAGGATTGTTATGTTGTTTTAATATAACCCTGTTTGGCTGCTTAGCTTAGCTTAGCTTGGTTTACACACTTCGTATTTTCAAACAGTATGTTTTTAGTTTTAAATGTATGTCAAAGTGCTAAGAGGACTAATTGATATATTTGGGTTAACAATGGCAGTGGTTGCTGGAGTGTAAACTTCCCCAAAATCCAGCTGAGAGCAGGAAAGAGCTGCTAACGTTAGCTTAAACTCTGATAGTACCCAGGACAGCTGTCATCACAAAGAGAACATTCTACAACTTTAAGTTGAGCCTTAACCCTTATAAACTAATGAATTCCTCTCTGGCCTAGTTACTACAAGAGGTAGTAAGCTAGTTAGCCAGACTTGCTAACATTAGCAGCTTGTATTCGAGCAGATAAACCATCGCATTCTCATTCCAACTCGTCAAATATCGCCGCTTTATGTTGGTGTTTGACAAAGGTTTAGCAATCAATCAATTCCCAATAAAATAATAATAAATGTGCGAAACTGGTTTTAAGTTTTCCAAGAATAAGTTAGTTAAAAATGTCACTCTCTCTTGGTCCAGGTGGTGTCGGTGTTGCGTCCGGAGGAGATGTTCGAGTGTGTGTTTACATGCGGTGCGGACTGTAAGGGGACGTCTCTTTATCCCTGCCTGCAGATCTTCGTCAACAACTCAGAGTCGAACTCGGTGGCTCTGCTGCACTTTGATGAGCAACAGCTGGTCCTCAACCCAAAGGTAACAACATAACTACTGTTTATTACACCACAGAGTGATGCAGGAAATTTAACACTTAAAGTTCACGTCACGTTCGTCTTGACGTCTATGGGTTTTTGGTTAAATGCCTGAAAGAAGTTCTGTAGTTTACAAAGAGTAAGAGACTTTAACATATTGTTCTACAACATAAAATATATGTCATTAAATACTTACCTCGTAAATTATGAAGTTTTTATGTGGGGTACTTGCACGTTTTTGCTTATACTTAGACTCCACTTCAACTCAGAGGGAAATATTGTCATTGAATAACTTAAGCTACTTTGCAAGAATACAAAACATAATCAACTATTTTTTAGTTGACTAGTTAACTTTTACCAGCTGCAACATTTAAGTGATGAACACGTTATCAGTTATTATAATCCAATAATATAATTTATGTTTTTCTAAAATGGGCCAGTCTGCAAAATAAATAGATTTACGTCTGGTACTTGAAGTATATTTTGATGTGGAAATTTGTAAGTAACATTTTGGAATATGTGACTTTTTCTTGTAATATATGACAAAGGTTTTGTCACCTTGATGTGGTTGTTATTAGTTGCACTGTATATTATATTTCGCCATTTTTGTCTTCATCGGATATTTACAACAGCAGAGTTACACATTCGATCCATCAACTGTTTATCTTCACAGTGGTGCATTCATTTGCATTTCCTTTGCTGTTTCAGTGATGTTAAAATGCTATTGATCGCACGTTTAATTTATATGCTGATCACTAAAGAATTTTTATGTAGGACAGTAGTCAAACAAGTATTAATGGCTTTGTTGAAAACAGAGAACAAATTTAATGTGAGCTAATTAAATTAGTTAGAACACACATTAAGATAAAAGATATCTGACAGAAGCTTATCAGTGTAGCGTTAATGGATTTCTTTAAAAATAAAAATTGATTTATGAATTATACATTTTCAATATCCAGCAGTTGAACTTGGATACTTTAATTCATACAGACATGGTGCTGAACTGGTTAAATCGTTGTATTTCCTGTGGATGAGGTTTAATTTGATGCATCAGATCAGGTCGAATCAGGAGTTAAATATCTGAATGCTGAAACATGCACAGATAAAAATGGCAGTGCAGCAGCGAACTGCTGAATTACATGTTGTTGTATTTTTGTCCGTATGAGCGTCAGAAGAGTTTCAGTCCGACTGGTTTTTGTTTCGCAGCTGCATGAAGTCGTGAGCTGAACAGAAATAGATTCAGTGAGACACAAACACGCCATTAAGACACTCAGTGTGTGAATGAAGGACTTAAAGCACCATTAACAAACAGCTGACAGTAAACACATCACAGCTGACATCCTGCGGGATATCGTGTGTGTGTGTGTGTGTATGTGTAGTATCAGTTTAAGCTCCTGCAAATCCTCCACCGTGGCCAAAAGTATATGAACACCGTCATATTTTTGGTCGGTTTGGTTTTGGCTCCAATGAATGGTTGTGTTTGTCGACTTCCTGTTTCAACCAGACACAAAGCAGCTCCATAAAGAAAGGCTTATCCCAGTTTTTTTGAGAAGAACTTGACCTCAAATCCATCCAACACCTTTAGGATAGAGGAGACGTATGCCACTTCCCACAGAAAAATTGTGATCTATAAAAACAGACTTGATGGGAGAAACTTTGATCCATGCTTTCAAGCATTATGGAGACAGGAAATTGGCAACGCAGATCATGAGGGGAAAGCCTGGTTCTAGAAATTGTCTAATACTTTTTTGGTGCATGCCATTTTTGGCTTTTGACTGTATGTACTTATTTAGTATGGATCCTATGCATGGTTTTAGAAATGAGAACACCACCATCAGGGTCTGACCTCACAAGGGCTGAAGGTCCTAATTTTATAATTATTACTTGTAGGGATGTCTCGATCACATTTTTTTTGCATCTGATCCGATACCGAGTCCTTGATTTTGAAACCGAGTCTGATCCGATACTTTGCAAAGCATTAACAAAGAAAAAAAAAGAATGCTTCAAAGCTGTCCCATAAGGTTTGTTTTTTATTTAAATAGTATCCAGAAAGCTTATCGGTGGTTCAGCAGCACAAAATGTAAACAAATTCTGAATTGTAAACAAATTGTCCCTCCAGAGGTGCTGTAGGGCTGTGGTAGGCGAGGTACTGCCGTTAGGTGTGGCTGTGTTGCTCGGAATAAAGAGAGAAGCGGTGGCCGCTGAACCTGTTGTCTCGACTCCTGTCCATTTATTGCTCATTAGCTGCACTCAGTTAGGTGAACCCAGGACGCTCGGTTACAATACATTGGAAAGCAGAGGCAACAATGAACAACATCAATGAAAAACCTGGCCATTTTTGTTGTTTTGATTCCTCCGATCTTTTATTACCGATTCCAATTTTGTGAAAATAACGTGATCATTGTGGGACATCCCTAATTACTTGCCAGAAACACATCGATAAATCTGGGAACTGCTTTGTGTTTTCTGCCATCTAGCAGTGGCGCCTTTTTCAACAGCTGCCGTCACCAGTGGTCGAATTGTTAATTTTTAACAAGGGGGATGCAATGTAGCTTTGATTTTTTTTGTGTGCACACATCATCAAATATGACAGCACAGATGTGCAAAATTAATCAAGATAAAGAAAAATGGCATGACCTATACCTGCTGCCTTTAAAAACACAAATAATGCAGTAGTATTGCTATTGCAATACAGACAAAAAACATTTTAGAGTATTCATAAGAGTAGCTCTGAAATAGCTGTGAAAATTAATCTTAGAGTCACTCTTATCCTATAGACATTTCCTTAGCCAGTTATAATTTCTCCTAATCTGTGAAGCCTTGGGCTGATAATTGGTGCTGCTGTCAGGTCCCTGTCCTGATACCTGCCTGGTTTCTCCCTGTCCCTCTTCTATCTATTGCAATAATATAGATAATAAATGTGCAAAGCAAAATTTATAAATAGAATTAAGAACAGTAGTGGTGACATAGCTGTAGAAATTAATCGCACAGTCACTTTTATGCTATAGATACTTTCTCTCAGCCAGTTATAATCTCTCCTCACCTATGAGGACCCTGCATGGTAATCCTTGCTGGCCTCTGGTCCACTGTCTCCTCCCTGACCCTGCTCTTTATATTGTGGCAATAAAGATCAAAAAAATATGTGCAAAGCAAGAGTGAGCACAAGTTCTTATTAAGGAGGAGTGGAGGAGTTTATTCTTAGCATGAAACTAGCTAGCAAGGTATTTAACATAGGTAACAATAACATTAGTGTTCTTGTTAACTAGCTTAACTTGATATATTGGCATCTATTAATTAGTCATCATTTAGCGAACATTATCTATATGCAACAGCATCACTCAACTTACACGGTTTGTTTGGAAGAAACTGTGCAAGGTTTTTTGCTTCTTGCTGGCTGGTTTGATGAACATAGTTAACACTCATCAGCACTGCCCAGCAGCATGTCTTGTCTGTGTGGATTGACTCTGATCACAACATGACAGCGTGTGTATGCGCCTTCTCATGGTGCATTTAAAGACGGCTCGGAAACCACATGTTAAAAACAAATTGGACGGTGGTAACGGCTGTAAAAAGTGCGGGGGACGGAGGGCAGAGATATGGGAAGTGCGGTGGACATGTCCCCTGCGTCCCCCCCTCAAATTACGTCCGTGCCTGCACACAGATTCTAGATTAACAAGGGGGATGCTTTTTGGTCAATTTTCTAACAAAGGGGATGGCATCCCCCCTCAATTCGACCACTGGCCGTCACTATAAGCAACACAATCTATTTGGCTGAGTCACCAGTTAACACAGTCACTCATTAAACCAAAACATCGACAACTTGGACGTGTTTTGTTTGTGATGCCGACCGAATGATTACTTATTGGTCTTTATGGTGTCATAGTTAGATCAACTACCATTATATTTCACGCTAACATTGATTGAGTGAATCTGTAGGACCAGTGCAGCCCTGTAGCCCTCTAATGTTAGCTACGTTAGCGAAGCAGTGTTAATTTTTTGCTAACGTTACTTGTTTCACCATCAAAGTTTAAGTGTGCCACAACTGTTGGAGCAGATGAGAACGGCATCATTCTTTACAAACTCCTATCAGTGTAAAAAGTAAGATAAAACGGTCAAAGTAATAATCATACTCATCTTCATTTCATTTCATTTTATTTATGCAGGAAAGGAATTCAAGGTAACATTGCGTGTTACAGTTAAAACTGGCCTGACTCAGTTAAAAACTGGTTTTCAACAGGTTCCTGTTCTGCAACAAAAACACATTACAATACAGAATAATACTCCTCTTATTCTAGTTGTGTAATGGGAGTGTATGGCGTGTTTTTATACAGTGTGTGAAGGACGGGGAAGAATATCGACCCTCATGCAGCCATTTTGTTGTGTTATTTCAGTGTTTTGAGGATTGGGAGCATCGTATGTAGACATTTAGTGGCATTTATTTAAGCGTCTTTTCTGCATTGTTCACAGATTCTGCACCTTTTTTTCCCCCAGTCCATCTAGAAAATGATTTGACACACTCCTGAACTGTAAACTGCCATTTTAGCATCAAAAGTAACACCCACAGGTGAATTTTATCTGGTTATATGTCTGTAGTAACAGCGGTTTAAGATGGGAGTACAGTTACGACAGTTGTAGGGAAGTGTTATTAAATTCTATTTTAGTATAATAATGATGATAATAAATTTGTTTGGTCACAAAAATAAGAGTCACAAAGGAGGCCATAAAAACATGCAATCAATAAAAACAAAGGCAATCAAACAACCAAGCATAAAACAATAAAAACATAAGCCACAAGTTAACAGTAATAGGAAAGACCATAAAATATTTCCTGGCAAATGGGCCCAGATTTTAATGACAAATCCCAGAATATATACAGGGATCTTGTTCAGGCCGTCATTAGCAAATTGACTGTACAGCAAAATAGGTTGAACCTGACTCAACTTTTGCCTCAATGCAACATCATCATTTAAGGAGCTGCATTGACTAAATATGTGAAGGCACACA